GCCATAGCTGGCTTGGCTTTAGCCATAAATCAATTTTTAATCTAGAAACAGATCTAATCTGAAAAAAACAAAAGAAATAACATTTTTCAAGCAAATAAATCAAAAAGATGAAGAAGTTTGGCAATTTTTGAACTGTCGACAACTCGGTTGATTTATGGAAATGAATTGTAAATGTTTAACTTGTTTAAAGGACTTTAAGGAATAAAATTTTAAAGGAAGAAAAGAAATTTGAAAACTTTGGACAAAGTTAAAACTAAAAATCTAAAAATTGTCCACGATCAGGTGAGCTTTTCGTGATTAAAAATGCGAATTCGAAACTAAGAATGGTAAAAAGATGGTAAGAATTCCCGTATTCTAGTGCAGTTTAATTAAACTTGTGTAATTACCGTAAATACTGTAATAGTACCCCGCCCCCATAATGACGGTGCGGAGTGTTGCGTAGTCTAGCTTTGAACGAGTTTTTCTTGACACTGGTTTATGCTACAATGCTCGTTTAGGTATCAAAAAATAGCTGAAATTCAGGGCTATTTTTTGATACCAAAGCCGCATTTTTTGAAAGTACGGGCGCTTTGAAAAAAATGAAAAACTAAAAAACGACTAAAACTTTTGCGACTACGCGACTGTACGAGCGCGGTGGGGTACTATTACAGTATTTACGGTAGTTATTAGCATAGCCGTGAATTTGAAAACAAATTAAACTCGACTTTAGTTTCTAGACGATATCTAGACAGATTTTTAGACTAATTAGTGTAAGTTATGCCATAAGCTTGAGAAAACGTCAATTAAAACGTCATGCGACTACCCGACTGTACTTTTGCGACTATTACAGTATTTACGATAGTTTAATTAAATTAAAGTTGAACTTTAAAGCTATTTTAATCTAAACTAAAGTGGGGAATTAGTTTCTATAAATTTGGGTGATTAATCCAAATGAAAATCCAAGTATAGAAGAAAATTTGTAACTTTAAAAATCAAATACAAAGCAACAAAAAGAAATCCCTTGTTTTTCGTCCGTTTTCATTGGGATTTCCCCCTCCAAAATCCCTTCTACTTCCCGTTTTCTCCATAATTTTCTCATTTTCTTCTGCCTACTATCTCGCCGATGAATGAGATTATTGTTTAGTGACGTCATTTCTCATTTTTCTCAATCTCCCAATTTATAATCCCTTTTTAGAAAGAATTACATTAGAAATGACAATAAAATTCGCCTAAATTCCTTTATTTTGAACGTTTTTTGATCGACTATTGAGTAAATTTCATTATCGGGTACTCGACTATTGAATAATTTCATTATTTATTCCAGAAAAATTTTCGCTCATATTGTTTTCAAGTTCTAGGAGTAGAAAAGGGATTTCTTTTTTCTTTAGTGTACAGAAAATATGAATTTGAAAGAGAATTTGAAAGAGAATGAAAGAGAATAATAAAGATCATGGACTACAAAATGATTCAAAAGTGATTCAAAAGTTTTTACAATCTTTTTAGAAAAAATTTTATTTTAAAATGATTGATGAAAGTTTATCTATAATATAAAAAAGCTATAATAAAGTTTTTTAAAATGAAAATCTTAATAAAATTATATTTAAAACAACTAATAAGTAACTTTAAGCTAGACATAACTTTTTATATGGTTAAACCGGTGCACAAGTGCACCGACAGTCAACCAAAATCGACTTTCTTTTGAATAGATATGCTTTATGCTTTATTCAGTTGAATAGCGACAAAACAAGATCACAATAATCACCCAGGAGACCACTCAAGAAAAGATAAAAAGATAAAAAGCACCCAAAAGATACCTCAAGAAAGAATCACAGAGCAGTCAAATCAATTGCCGAAATTGTGGCTTTAAATCTAGCCAAAGTGGGAATATCACGAACATGAGAGGGTAAAAGGTTCCACAATTTAATAGCCCGATTAAAAAAGAAACTGTGGAAGCTTTTAGAGGAAAAGGGAAGGTTGGCGAATGAGGAATCGGCTAACTTAATCGAAATCGCCTAATCGGCTAACTTAATCATCTACTTTAATCATCTACCTTAATCAGCTACTTTAATCGGCTAACTTAATCAACTACCTTTATCATCTACCTACCTCTGTATTTGAAAAATCTTCAGGACAAAAAAGGTGGATAAATCAACAAATTAGTTAACTTCTTTATACAAATCCTTAGCACTGATAAATTAAACAATATATATGTTACGTCCGAATCTGAGGAGACGTCCATCTCCGATCCGGACGTCCGAATCTGAGGAGATTCATTCTCCTCCGAAACGGACGTCCGACTCAGAGTCGGACGTCCATCTCTGAGTCGGACGTCCGTTTCAGAGGAGAATGAATCTCCTCAGTTCATTCGGACGTAACATATACAAATTGTAAGCTTTAAATTGTTCTAATTAATTTTTTTTTCTAATTAAAATAAACTAAACATGATATTGTCAATCGTTTTTGAGGTTTTCTAGAGGTTCTTTTTCGATAGAAAACAAAAGTCTGATGATTTTCGGAGTTTCTATTCAAGTAAACGTTGGTCTAAATGTTAGTCTAAATTACTTTTAAATGGATAAAGATGAATATTAGTTTATAAATTTTTCCTTGAGATGAGTCTAAACTTGACGGATGATTAAAAAATTGAAAAGAAATTTCCGCAATTTCGGCAATTTCGGCATTTGATTTGACTGCTCTGTGATTCTTTCTTGAGGTATCTTTTGGGTGCTTTTTATCTTTTTATCTTTTCTTGAGTGGTGTCCTGGGTGATTATTGTGATCTTGTTTTGTCGCTATTCAACTGAATAAAGCATACATAGATATAGATTAAGGTAGCTGATTAAGGTAGCTGATTAAGGCGGCTGATTAAAGTAGCTGATTAAAGTAGCTGAGTAAAGTAGCTGAGTAAAGTAGCTGAGTAAAGTAACTGCTCAAAGTAGCTGATTAAAGTAGCTGGTTAAGGTAGCTGATGAAGGTAGCTGATTAAAAATCAGACTTAACAGTTTTACTAGAATATTTTGAAACTAGCCCATTAAAGGATTGATTTGACTAACAGAATGAATAAAAGTTAAAAGATTTGATTTGTGGATTTGAATTGATTTGTGGATTAGATTTGATTTGGTGTGGATGAAGTGGATTTGATTACGTAAATCATTGATATCAGCTATGAAACTCTTTCAAGCAAGATCAAAAAAAGGATCAAAAAAACAAAAAAACATTTCAAGCGAGCAAATGTGTTGTTTCAAGTTGACTAAACTCTTCTTTCTTTCTAATGATTTAGTCACTAAAGTGTTTCTCGATCGCATCATTTGCCAATCACTCCCCTTTCCCGCCTGCACACAACGGAAATTGGTGATTTGTTTGCAGGAAAAGCGGGAAAATCTCTCTCAATTCACAGAATTCACAGAATTCAGAAATCTTGATCGCTTTAGCAATTAGCAAAATTGGAGATTATTGAAAGATGAAACAAAACATTCAATCATTAAAAGCAAAAGAATATGCTTTTTTTTAAGTGTTTCAAATTTTAGGCTTTTCGAGAATATAAGCGGTTTTTAATTTAGTAAAAATTTTTAGTTTTTGATTTAAAATTTGCTATTCCGAGCTTAGAATGCCATCTTTTAATGGAATAAAAAACTAAAGTGGTTTATTAGTTAGTTTAGTTTAATTCAAGTTCAATTAGTTTGATTAAACTTGGGTTTTTAATAGAAATTTTAATAGAATTGCTCTTTATAAATTAATTGCTCTTTATAAAATTAATTTTGACAAATTCTCCTCCTTTAGTTATTCTGATAACTAAAGATTTCAGTTTTGTAACTCTTTGATCTTGAAATGTTACACAAATCATCGATTAGCATCGATAAGTGGAATGCTTTCAAATTGTTAAAGGCATTCATCCCGACCATTCATCCCTTTTTTCCCTTTGAATTCGGCTCACTACGGGGCGCTTCCAAAAGTGGGCTTCCAAAAGTGGGCTTCCAAAAGTGGGCTTCCAGAAGTGGGCTTCCAGAAGTGGGCTTCCAGAAGTGGGCTTCCAGAAGTGGGCTTCCAGAAGTGGGCTTCCAAAAGTGGGCTTCCAAAAGTGGGCTTCCAAAAGTGGGCTTCCAAAAGTGGGCTTCCAAAAGTGGGCTTCCAAAAGTGGGCTTCCAAAAGTGGGCTTCCAAAAGTGGGCTTCCAGAAGTGGGCTTCCAGAAGTGGGCTTCCAGAAGTGGGCTTCCAGAAGTGGGCTTCCAGAAGTGGGCTTCCAGAAGTGGGCTTCCAGAAGTGGGCTTCCAGAAGTGGGCTTCCAGAAGTGGGCTTCCAGAAGTGGGCTTCCAGAAGGGGGCCTCTCCTCATGCGCCAACCTTCCTTTTTCCTCTAAAAGCTCCCACAGTTTCTTTTTTAATCGAGTTATTAAATTGTGGAACCTTTTACCCTCTCATGTTCGTGATATTCCCACTTTGGCTAGATTTAAAGCCACAATTTCGGCAATTGATTTGACTGCTCTGTGATTCTTTCTTGAGGTATCTATTTATCTTTTTATCTTTTCTTGAGTGGTGTCCCGGGTAATTATTGTGATTTGTTTTGTCGTTATTCAGCTGAATAAAGCATATATATAGATCTAATAATATTATATATATAATATTATTAGAAAAAGAAACGTTTTAATAGAAAATCAATGCGTGACATTAACCATTGCAAAAAAAAGACAAAGTGACAAAATTTGAAACTCGGCTTTTTGTCTTTTTGAAAGTTGAAAGTTATATGAATTTTTTTTGTCTGGAAATGAACAAAATGAACATAGCTTACTGCGATTTGAACAGTTTTTTTTTCATTTATTGAATAATCAGCATCTTAAGATTAAAAACTTTATTTTAAGAGTTTTAAAAAGCACCAAAAGAAGTCAAAAAAAGATGAGAGGCACATTTGAAAGCACAGTGATTGATGAGAATAGAAAAGTTTACAAAATTTACAAAAAAAAAATCAAAAATTTACATTTACATTTATTTACAAAAATGTTTGATTTAGAAAATTTTATGAAAAAGTTCATCCATCGCCTTGAACGGTGATCTTTCGTTGCGAGTAGTAGGTCCAGTAGACGATCTGAAAATTGAATAGTGTGGAAATGATTTTGAAAGCAAAGATTTTGATTGATCAGTGAAAACTCGAGGCTAAGGAATTGAACTGGCTAAGGTATTGAACTGGCTAAGGAATTGAACTGGCTAGGGCTTTGAATTGGCTAAGGCATTGAACTGGCTGTCATTGAACTGGCTAAGGTATTGAACTGGCTAAGGTCTTGAACTGGCTAAGGAATTGGACTGGCTAAGGCTTTGAATTGGCTAAGGCATTGAACTGGCTGTCATTGAACTGGCTAAGGAATTGAACTGGCTAAGGCTTTGAACTGGCTAAGGAATTGAACTGGCTAAGGTATTGAACTGGCTATGTCCTTGAACTGGCTAAGGAATTGAACTGGCTATGGCATTGAACTGGCTAAGTCATTGAGCTGGCCAAGTCATTGAACTGGCTAAGGCATTGAACTGGCTAAGGCGTTGAACTGACTATGTCATTGAACTGGCTCAGGCATTGAACTGGCTAAGTCATCAGTGATTGTTTTTTGATGGTTTCTTAAATATTTTCCGTCTTGAGTAGCTAGGAATTAAAGTAAAAACGTTTCTTTTAAAAGTTAATCAATTGAATAGGTATTCTGAATAGAAAAAGCCTGCGTTGTTCAAGTTGAAATCTAATTTTTGCCTTTTTGCCCAAGCTGAATTGAATTTTGGTCTTTACAAGAACAATTTTCGAATTTGCTAAAGCCTGAAGCTTGAAAACGGAACGCACATTGAAAACGGCGAACGTGGTCGGGAATAGAATGCTCGAGATTTTGTCGACTCTCTCGGGTGGCCACATGCCAAAGTCCGGGATGTAGATCCGCCATGCAGATCCTGGAAATGGCGATAATCTACTATATATAAAAGAGCATTGTCTGTCGTCTGTACGGGCTTTTTCAGCTGTCTTTAAGCCAAAAAAACCGAAAATTTTTAAATATAATATAGTTATGTCATTTCAAATAAAAATTGAAAAAATCGAAGTTGAGCGGGACCACGGGAGATCGAACTCGTGCGGGCCCTACAAAAAAACCTTCCCGCTTGCGCCACCTGCCTCCGCTCAAGTGGCCGGAAAAACCTGCTGTTAGCCAGGCTTTTCAGTCAATTTTCGGTCGATTTTTGGCTGTTTTTGGCTGGTTTTTGGCTGGTTTTAACTTAAAGTTAAACTTAAACTCTCATTTTCGATTGTAACAAGTCACACAAAACCCCCTACTGGCTCGATCCAATGGCAGCATGAAACGCTTGTCGATTCTTATCAAATTCGCGCTCGTCGAATCGAAAGTGTCCATTTGGTAACTCCGAGAGATCTTAAAGAAGGTAGATTTAAGAAAAAATTTATTGGAAATCGATATTTATTGGAACCGTATTGGAACTGTATTGGAACTGTATTAGACCAAAATAGGAACCGTATTGGAACCGTATTGGAACTGTATTGGAACTGTATTGGAACTGTATTAGATTAAAGGAACCGTATTGGAACTGTATTAGATTAAAATAGGAACCGTATTGGAACCGTATTGGAACCGTATTGGAACTGTATTAGATCAAAATAGGAACCGTATTGGAACTGTATTAGATTAAAATAGGAACCGTATTGGAACCGTATTGGAACCGTATTGGAACTGTATTAGATCAAAATAGGAACCGTATTGGAACTGTATTAGATTAAAATAGGAACCGTATTGGAACCGTATTGGAACCGTATTGGAACTGTATTAGATCAAAATAGGAACCGTATTGGAACTGTATTAGATTAAAATAGGAACCGTATTGGAACCGTATTGGAACTGTATTAGATCAAAATAGGAACCGTATTGGAACTGTATTAGATTAAAATAGGAACCGTATTGGAACCGTATTGGAACCGTATTGGAACTGTATTAGATCAAAATAGGAACCGTATTGGAACTGTATTAGATTAAAATAGGAACCGTATTGGAACCGTATTGGAACTGTATTAGATCAAAATAGGAACCGTATTGGAACCGTATTGGAACCGTATTGAAACTGTATTAGATTAAAATAGGAACCGTATTGGAACCGTATTGGAACCGTATTGGAACTGTATTAGATCAAAATAGGAACCGTATTGGAACTATAGGAACTATTGGAACTACCGTATTGGAATTAGATCAAAATAGGAACCGTATTGCAACCGTTATATTTTATTGTAAGCTAATAAAATAGAATCTTTTTATGAAAATAAAATTAAAAAAGCCAAAAATTGACAATAAAGTCTCTTGGAAAAGTTGTGTTTCAAAGTGGAGCTAGATAATCAGTTAACTGTTCTTTTAATTGGCTTTCTTAATTTAATTTCTTATTTTGTAGGCCTAACTCAATTAATTTATCGTATTCGCCTCAATCAGAGTTAAGATTGAAATTAGATCTCAGAAAATTTAGTATAGGTTTCAAAATTGATTTAGTTCATGATCAAAAAAACAAATCTGTTCCAACCTTTGGCACACACAAGCTTTTTCGCTTCCTCGAACCCGGCATTTCGTCTTTTACCTAAAAAATTAGCTTTCATACGTGTTCCGAACTTGAAACTTAAAAGAATAATCAAAAACTAAATGGATAACAATTTTTAGTTTCAAAATTTGAATGAATACAATAAATGTTTCCGTTTGATCTTGATCAGTGAGTTACAACTCACCATGTACCCAACGATGGCCAACTCTAGAAGTGATGCGAAAATAAATGTCATCGAGGCGAGCATCCAAACATCTGAAATACTTTAGCTTTAATGCTTTATTTTACATGCTAAATGCTTTATTTTACAAGCTTAAACTCATCAATATAGTTCTTTTTTTGGGAGTGGGACAAATGCGACCTTTTTTTGCGCACCCGGACATTTGCGCACCTTTTTTTCCGCACTTAGCCCATTAGCGCACCTTTCTCGCGCACCTTTCGCGTTTTAAAAAAGCTCTAAAAGCTAATATTAACCAATTTCTATTCCAAAAGTTGTTTTTCTAGGTAATTTTAGGGCATAGAATCGAAATTTTGACGTAACAGAGCGTGTGGAACCAATTTGAAAGACAAAACGGCTAGGTCAAATTACAGAAAATTGTCGATCTTTCTCTTTGTATAACTCCGTTCGCTTCCACAAGCTCTGATATGCCAAAATTTCGAGAAAAATTGGCAGAAAAATAATTGGCCTTTCTAATCATTGGCCTTTCTAATCATTAGCCTTTCTAATCATTGGCCTTTCTAATCATTAGCCTTTCTAATCATTGGCCTTTCTAATCATTGGCCTTTCTAATCATTGGCCTTTCTAATCAATCGTAGTTTAATTTGTGTATTTTTCACATTTCAAACAACATTATTGATACTAAAAAATCAAAAACAATCAATCAAATGATTCAGAGAATCTCAGAAAAGAGATGAACCGTTTAATTGTTTAATTTAAGATGTTGAATTGGCCATGAAAATATTCTAAGTCTTCGAAAAAGCTCAAATTTATCAATATAGTTTTTTTTGGTAATGCTTTTATACATTTCTGACTTTTTTGTGCATCTTGTATGCAAATTTTATTGTAAATCTAGGTACAGCTAGTGGCTTTCCCAAAAAAAGTACCAAATATTTGGCTTTATAGCTTTTGGCTTTATAGCTTTTGGCTTTATAGCTTTTGGCTCTCTAGCTTTTGGCTTTCTAGCTTTGGCTTTCTAGCTTTGGCTTTCTAGCTTTGGCTTTCTAGCTTTGGCTTTCTAGCTTTTGGCTCTCTAGCTTTTGGCTTTCTAGCTTTGGCTTTCTAGCTTTGGCTTTCTAGCTTTGGCTTTCTAGCTTTGGCTTTAATCTAGTCTTTAATCTGATTCAGCTTTTGGCGATAATTTATTAACTTAACCATTGATTAACAAAACGATCAATTTTGAACTTAATCTTTTTTGAAACTTGAACTTTTTTTTGCACTCACCAATTGCTTTTATATAGGAGACTCTCGGAAGATTTCGCATAATATTCCCGAATTGAAAAATCATTGCCAAGAGAGCGTTGACACCTAGAAAAAATAATGTTGAATAAAACAACTCTTACAGTCAGTCTGCAGTTAGAGAATTTTCAGTTTTTCGATTCAATTCAGCCGTCCACATTGTACAATTCTTTTATTTACAAAATTTCTATTAATTCCATGAATTCTATTAATCCCATTAATTCCATTAATCCCATTAATTCAATTTTCTTAAAAAAAACTACTTTCTTATCTATTTTTCTATTATAGATTTATTTCATTTTATTATTTCTATTTCTATTATTATCTATTATATTATTTCCTTGTACTGGATTGGATTTAGAATCGAGTTTATGCAGGGTTCTAGTTAATTGAACCCCTAAAACATAGCCTCGACCATCCGCTTAAAAGACAAGACTCCTAACCTAAAAGGTCCTTTATCACCAACATTTTAAACAAAGCCAGTTTAAAAGTGGATCTTTAAAAAGATAGATTTATTGAACCAATAATTTGATACAAACAAAGGATACATAATAAGACATAAAGGTCTAAACACACAATTTTATGGCACTTTGGCCGTTACCCCTATTGCCCTTATTACCAAAATATTGTGAAAGAAAAAAGAAAAAGAAACATTTTTGTCTTGATATCAGCTTGATTGAACCCTCAACCCCTTCCGCTTAAGAAAAAAGACTCCTAACCGGTCGGCCATCTGGCCATAATATTCAAAATACCGTATTCTCCCTAATAGTAGTGCACTTTGAGCCTCGCCTAAATTGCTCCAAATCTCGAGAACCGCTTATCAGAACCTATCGATGTGGGATCGGAAAATGTAGCTGACGATGAGATCTAGTGGGGGATTTGAGTGTTGAGCTTCTGCAAAAGCTTGTAAACCGTAAAATAGACACCAACTCGGCTTGCCGGGGTGCACTACTATTAGAGAAAATAAGGTATAATGATTCTTGATATTTTATATCAAAGCCACTTACTTGTGCACTTTGATCTACCCGGAGGCCTATAATTCTGGGCCCAGGTCCACCAACTGCTAAATTTAGCAATTGGTAAATGCTAAACTGCTAAATCAGTTTAGCAAAATTGCTAGATGGTAAATCAGTGAATGCTAGATGGCAATTGGTAAATACCGTAGTGAGCGTAGTGTAATAGTAGTGAGCGTCGCTTAAATTCCTCGAAATCTCGAGAACCGCTTATCAGAACCTATCGATGTGGGATCGGAAAATGTAGCTGACGATGAGATCTAGTGGGGGATTTGAGTGTTGAGCTTCTGGGAAAGCTTTGGAAGCCGTAAAATAGTCATCAACTCCGGCTCGACGGGGTGCACTACTATTAGAGAAAATATGGTATTCAAAATTGTTTTGTTTCTAAAAGCTGGCTACCATTTAAATAGACATACAAATATTAAAATTAGCTGTTAATTTTTGGCTTTAAATTTTGGCTTTAAATCTTTTACCAACCTAGCATCGTCCTTGCTGGGATGGCTCTCGGCCCAAGCGCGAAACTCACCCAACTAAATTTCAGATTAGAATTTTAAGAATTACAAGCTTTTTCTTTAAACGGACAAAAGTGGGAAAGATTATAAACAGTTTTTTCCACTCAATCTTTCGCTAAAAACAAAGCCGCTTTATTCTCCATTTCACCTGATGAAAATCGTCAAATAGGTCGGCAAGTAGGCTTGCATGAAATACCAAATATATCTGCGTTCAAATGTCAAATGCACGTGCAATTCGTCCCACATTCCGGCTGGGTAGGGCTAAAGTGAAATGGTGAATTTGCTGAAACTTGATATTGATCAAATGCTTAAATAATTGAGGTGAAGGTTTTAAATTCAGAAGCTAAAAGAAGCTAGAAGAAGCTAAGAGAAGCTAAAAGAGGTTAAAAGAAGTTAAAAGAAGCTAAAAGAAGCTAAGAGAAGCTAAGAGAAGCTAAGAGAAGTTAAAAGAAGCTAAGTGAAGCTAAGAGAAGCTAAGAGAAGCTAAGAGAAGTTAAAAGAAGCTAAAAGAAGCTAAGAGAAGCTAAAAGAACCTAAAAGGAATTTGCATTTGGTCTCAAAAAAAGAAAAAAAGAATGTTAACGTTTAAGCGTAAACAAAATGATCAGTCTTGTTTGTCTTTTTGTCTTTTTCTGTCTTTCAACTTTGTCGATCTTTTTCAAGACGCTTTAGCATTGATTGTCGCAAATTATTTACTCACCTCGACCACATGATCCGTTCGAATGTCAATCAAGTCAAAGTCGGGCAAAACGATGTCCACGAGTTTCTAAACGTTAAAAAAGTGTGTGTAAAGCTTTTCGAATCAACTTTTCACTATAATCTTTCTCATATGTAGGGTTTTAATTCTTGAAATTTGCTTTAAAAATTGCATTTTACAGAAAAATTGGAATTTTTACACAAAAAAATTGGAATTTTTAAAATTAGCTTAGAAATGTTTAACCAATTTCTTCTTTGACTCACTTTCACAGCTCCAGCCTGATCAGTGCTCCAGCGCATTTGCACTTCTTGATTGTTGTAGTTGAAGCTAAAGGAAAAGTTTTTTTAAAATAAGATTTGGGAATCATTTGATGAGGGCAATCACTAAGCTCAGTCAATTCAAAATGAAAACGAAAATGATCAAAATGAGCTAATCGAATGGAAACCGGCGATGGGATTACGATCGTTTTGGTCTAAAATTGGTGCCCTTTAGAAAGCGGATTAGCCGATGGGGCACTAGTCATCACAGTCATTTCAACTGACTAGGGAAAGGCAAGCACTCGTTGCAAAAGGTCACGGCAAGTGCTTGCCTTTCCCTAGTCAGTTGAAATGACTGTTGAAATGACTGTGATGACTAGTGCCCCATTGGCTAATCCGTTTTCTAAAGGGCACCAATGACTGTGCACTAGTAAACACTAGTGAAGGGGCACTATCCATTCATCCATTCCCTAGTCAGTTGAAATGACTGTGCACTAGTGATGACTAGGGCCCCTTCGGCTATTCCTTTTTTCTAAAGGGCACCAATGGCTGTGCACTAGTGAAGGGGAACTAGCGAAGGGGAACTAGCGAAGGGGAACTAGCGAAGGGGCACTAGCGAAGGGGCACTAGCGAAGGGGCACTAGCGAAGGGGCACTAGCGAAGGGGCACTAGCGAAGGGGCACTAGCGAAGGGGCACTAGCGAAGGGGCACTAGCGAAGGGGCACTAGCGAAGGGGCACTAGCGAAGGAGCACTAGTGAGTCGAAAATCTCCCCTCCTCATCCATTCACCTTTCATAGATCAAACTGCATCTTTGTCGATCCAACGGGAACATTGTCAAATCCAAAGAGCAAGGACCTTTCACACGGGTTCGCTAAAATCGTCAAACCATTCATTTTTTCTTTAAAGAACTCACATAATTCACCCAAACCGTCCCATTCGGGTACAACATGAGAAAAACGTTTCTGAAAAGTCACTTTTTCAATGTATTTGAAGAGATGAAATTTAAACACACAACGATGCGACTTGCGACGCTCATTGCCAGTGCTCAATCCAATCAGCTTCAACTTGAAACTTTGAAACTTATCAAGGACATTGTAGCTCTTAATCCTCAATAATCGTATATCAAAACAAGCAAAGACGATTTTGCTAAACTTAAAGCAAAGACGAAACGATTTTGCTAAACTTCGGTCTGAATATTAAAAGTTATTTTTTTATTAGGCTCTCCAGAAAGTCTTTTCGTTATTTTTCAACGAATTCTGACTTAAAGCTAAGGTTTGACTGTGTTTGACGTGGAGTCGCTTAGTTTGAAACCTGATTTTTGGCCTTCACGAGAAATTTAGCCTAAATTATTTCAATTCAAAAGCTGAATCAATTTGAAGAGATATTATTTGTGAAAATTTGATTTCAATTATGATAGACTGCCAAAGATTGTGAAATAAAATAGACAGGCAAAGATTGTGAAGCCAAAGATGATTGTGAAGCCAAAGATGTTTGTGAGTTCGAGGGTGAAGCTTGACTTTTCCCCCCTTCGCAACATTTGTCACTCACCGAAATGGCGAATTGTGAATCTCGGCGATTTTCGAGTTGATAAAGCAGCTATTTGGTGTCCAAATTTGATCGAATATCTGTGAAAATGTTTTTCTTTTTACTTTCTGAATTTTGAAACCTGAAAACTCAGCGAGAAATTCTGCTTGCACGGGTTTAAATGCTCGAAGGTCAAAGCCGGATCCATCCACATTTCGTTGATGTAAATGTCCATCTAAATACTACGAATTGTCTATTTAGCAAGTGTTTTCTAATGTTTACTTATTATTTACTTCTTATTTACTTATTATTTACTTATTATTTACCTATTATTTCAAATTTTCCAATTAAAATTCTAAATAGATTTCGAATCGAATCAATTAATCAATCAAAATCAAAGGAAACAAAGGAAACAAATGATTAAATTGATATGTTTGTTTCTTGGAACTTAAAATGCTCAATAAATCCAGAATTGAATTGATAACACACATTTTAAACATCAAATTCGTAATCAGCGTCATCGATTACCCCTAAAAAATGTGGAAAAAGCAAAAATTTAGATACTTTATTAGTACCAAAACTTCTTCTCTTTGTCATCTAGAGACAATTTTCAGCTTTAACCACTTTTGGCTTACTTTTGATCGAAACAATGTTCGTATTTTTTATATTTCTCTACGTCTTTTTCCTTCAGCTCCATTTCTCACCTCAAAATCATTGGTGATCTCGTTGATCGACTCGATTGATTGAATCCAAAACTCGACCACCACACGGACACCCTCATCGGCTAGAAAAGAAACGATTAAAAAATAAAGTTTCAATATTAATTATATCTGTTCAATATAGCGGTTGTTAATTTAGATTGGCATTATATATTGGGAGAAATTGAGCTACGTCTTTATCGTATTCAGCTAGCTGAGAACCGGGCAACTTTACTCGAATTCCAACAATGCTTTCGACAAACCTACGCGGTCACACGGAGAAATTGTACCGGCACCCATCGAAATTATTCTAGTTTTAAATTTCCTACAAAATGATATATTAACCATGAAAATCGGTAGACTGGGGGCTGAGATCTAGGGTCGGAGTACGCAATACTACTATTTCCGTTGTTCCGTAGCCTGTAGAAAAAAAGGCTGACTTCAACGGGGAACTCCGTGGCCTCGAGAACCGATAAGGGTGTTGTTTTTGGAGCTCTAGCTTCTCCGGTTCTCGAGATGAAAGTTGCGTAAGGATGGACGGACGGACGGACAGACAATCCTCAATTATATATAGTAGATTTGGTTTGTGTTGTTATTTTTATTTATTAACTTCTTCTTGATAAAATAAAAGTGCGTCTATTATTTTTTGAGAGTCCTAAAAACGTACTTTGTACGTTCCTGTACTTTCCTGTACTTTCCAGTACTTTAATTGGCTAAAATGGTGCTATTTTTTTGTATTTACTATTTTTGAGATAAAGAAACTAAAAAAAACACTTTAACATCAGCTTTAACAGCTGCCAAGGCGCGCTCAAAACTAGCAAAAAAAGGATTCATCTACAATTTTTTGACAGAGCATATCCTCAAATTCTTGAGAACAATTTTTGCTCGAAATTTGGCTGCATTTTTGGCTGCATTTGGCTGTATTTTGCTACAAATTCGACATCCACCGCCGATCCCAATCGCCAAATCTCACTTGGTATCCGCAATTTGTTATAGCCGGTCTCGTTGATCAATTTGTGCATAATCACCGTATCCCGCGTGCAGTTCGGCTGAAAATTTCCTTGTTTCAAAAAGAATACAATACAGTTTTTTTGAAATCGTCAAATTAGTGCACACTTGGTCATATTATGCAACAGAATTTTGGGCTCAAGTGCAAAATTTTAATCATTCACATTTTGTGATGTCACTTTCGCTTTGACTCGCTTTCGAATCGCCTGAAATTTGGTTGGAAAGGTATTTGAAGAAGATATCTTATAAAAGATATATAAAAAGATAAAAAGAAAAAGATCTTTATGTTAGTTACACGGCAAGCTGTTTCTTTGGATGATTCGACGATTTTTGTAAAGGCCTTATGGTTTTTTTTACAAATTTTTGGTTGAATTACTTGAAATTTGGACTTTTTTAACTATAAAAAGAGATTTTTCATGAAATCATGGTTAATTTTTCGGACTTCTGGCTCTTTCCCTGAATCGTGGTCTTTTAAAAGTTTCGTGGTCTTTTAAAAGTTTCGTGGTCCTTTGTCAAAAAAGTTGAAGAGGCACTAAGGAAGCTCAAACATCGGGCCAATAAAAGCTAACTCGATGGCAGGATTTGTGACTCTATGGCTAAAAACATCTTACGATAAACATCCACTCATAAAGAGAAAGCCTCTCGCTTGTGCCTTGGCTACTTCAGGGGGTCGACTTTGAGCGACATTGCACAGAATTCCTCTTGGTCTCAACAAGGTATCGTCAAGTTGGCAAGGATGTCAAGTTGGCAAGGATCTTGGCTGTATGTGAAGGCTAGCTTCACAAAGATTTGCGTATCCGAGGAACGCAAGGCGTACCAAGCCTTGCTTTTTGCTGGGATACTAAAATTGTTGTTCTTACGATTGTCCTTTAAATTCTGATTAAATGTGCATGTGGAACTTATTGCAAACTTAAAACAAAAAATTGCAAAGGACCACGAAACTTTTAAAAGACCACAGAACTTTCAAAGGGCCACGGAACTTTCAAAAGACCACGATTCAGGGAAAGAGCCGGACTTCTTTATATTGAAAGTCTTAAAAAGCATATTGTAATTGAAATTATTGAAAAAAAGCATATTGAAAATCAAGGAAAAGACCTGGAATTTTTAATCTTTATTTGTTTTAAGCGCTATTTTGATGAAGCACTAACGATGTGTCACCAAAATCAGTGTGATTCATTTTGAAACACATTTTGAAACACAAAATCCAGATCAGATTGGAATTTATTCAATTTTTAAACGAAATTCCTCAGCTACATTGTTTTAAATATTCAAATTCGAATTCAAATTCAAATTCAAATTTCGGCCGTCACTCACATTCAGAATTCGCTTTCATTTAAACAAACAAACAAAAATGTTAATTTGGTAGACTGAAGAAAGAATGTAGCGCTTAATAATATTGGAGTAAGTCTCGTTGATTTTGAAACACGGCAATCTTTTCAATCGTTTCATTTTTGCACACAATCATTTACCGATCGCCAATCGTTATCCGATGGCCGACTGTGACGCGTTGGTGGGGGTTTGAAGGCTCTCTATTGGATAAGGAAAGGAAATATGTTTTAAATAAATTGTACACAAATATCATAGCTAAGCTCTGAATGACTTTTTCAAATACCTTATTTTCGTTTAGGCTTTCATTTAAACTCACCGGTTTGCGCTGCGGTTTCGGCTGCGTTTTCGGCTGTTCGTTTTGGATTTTGTATCGATCGAGTGCTTGTCGGTAAATCGTTTGAGTGGGATGAAGCTGAAAGTTGTAAGAAAATGGTGTAATGAAAATATCAGAGTTATACATAAATTGAAACTATCACTTCATTCTTTTTCAGCATTTCATTTCGTATTTTCATTGTTAAAGAGCCACTCTAAGCAGTCTTATTAAAGTATTCGTAAAGAAAAAAGAGCGTTCTACAGGGTGGGCCAAAATTACCGTTACAATGTTCACTCATGCTCACTCACGAGCCTAAGCCTGAGCCTAAGCCTAAGCCTGAGCCTAAGCCTAAGCCTGAGCCTAAGCCTAAGCCTGAGCCTGAGCCTAAGCCTAAGCCTAGCCTAAGCCTGAGCCTGAGCCTAAGCCTAAGCCTAAGCCTAAGCAAAATGGAAGAAAGCTAACGGTAACAACTTCAGCAAATGTCAAAAAAAGTGAGGAATCGCCTGTTGAAAACCCCAAACTAATCGGTGCGGAAAATGTCACAAAAAAAGGGGGATACAGAGCGAACATCCCTTAGATGTTCATCCGAACATCCTTAGAACATCCCTCATCAAAAACAAGCTCAAGTTAAAGGCCTACACGGCCTATAAGGCCTACAAGGCTTACAAGGCCTACAAGGCCAGAAAAATAAATCACAAATGCTATCAGTTGACGCTATCAACCACACAAAACTGTTGATAGTTTGAAAAAAGCGCTCGAAAAGGCTTGGGAAGAGCTGGAAGCTTGGGAAGAGCTGGAAGCTTGGGAAGAGCTGGAAGCTTGGGAAGAGCTGGAAGCTTGGGAAGAGCTGGAAGCTTGGGAAGAGCTGGAAGCTTGGGAAGAGCTGGAAGCTTGGGAAGAGCTGGAAGCTTGGGAAGAGCTGGAAGCTTGGGAAGAGCTGGAAGCTTGGGAAGAGCTGGAAGCTTGGGAAGAGCTGGAAGCTTGGGAAGAGCTGGAAGCTTGGGAAGAGCTGGAAGCTTGGGAAGAGCTGGAAGCTTGGGAAGAGCTGGAAGCTTGGGAAGAGCTGGAAGCTTGGGAAGAGCTGGAAGCTTGGGAAGAGCTGGAAGCTTGGGAAGAGCTGGATCTCCTATACCATTTCGCCACGGTCGACGCTTTTCTACGACGTTTGGACGCTTGTGTAAAAGCTATTGAAGATCTGTTTGAAAAGGAATAGTTTTTATGAATTGTTATGAGACAATAAGAGTTATTTTTAAGAAAAATCTTTGATCTTTTGAGTTGCTTTTTATACAGAGACTTTTTTATATGTAACGGTAATTTTGGCTCGCCCTTTAGATTGAAACTATGTTCTAAATACGTTTCAGCTTTTAATGATTCAAGTTATAAATTATTTAGAAGTAGGAAATCTAGAGAAAAATACAAAAACAGATACAAAAACAAGCAATTTTTAGCCATTCCACTCACCGAATCCTCATCGCTGCTCGAATCGACCAAATCATAGTCTTGATTGATGACAATTGACGCTAATTCGAAGATGAAATTTGGAAATAGAGAAATCACTAGTAATCGCATATCTAAAATAGGAAATGGCCAGATGATTACAAAGGAAAAGCTTAGAAAAATTGAACTACAGGGTGCAGCAAAAGTTCGGAGCCGCTATGAAAACATTGCAGAAAATTTAGTTCACGCTTTTTTTTGTGTTTGGTATACTTTTTCCTTTTTTCGAGTATAGTTAAGGTGATTTGTTACAAAAATTTTCTTTTTAGCAGCAAAATTCGTAAGAATGAACGCCAAAAAACGACGCGATGTGATTCTCGGATTATACCAAGGCGGAAAAAAATAGCCCGGAGATTGTAAAAATCACGAAATATCCAAAAAGCACCGTCAACAAAGCAATTAAACGCTACAAGGAGATAAAGAACAACAAGGATCACCCTCGAAGTGGTCGACCACCAGCTGCCGTAACACCTACGAACATCAACGAAATTCGCTTTCGAATTCGCCAAAACAAGCTGCAGTCGATGCGAAAGATGGGCAAACAGCTGAAAATTAGCCCTCGAAGCGTTGGAATGATTGTTAAAGGGAAACTAAGATTCTGTAGCTACAAATTGGCCAAAGCACACGTCTTGAGCGACAAATCCCAGAAGAAACGAAAGCGTCTAGTAAAGAAGATGGTGCGCTTGGTGGTGACTGACCTACTTGAGAGGATCCTCTTCACAGATGAAAAGATTTTTTCTATCCAGTCATTGCACAACCGCCAAAATCATAGATAACTTCTGAAAAGGGGTCTGAAGAACACATTTGCGGCAAATTTGATGGTTAGAAAGCATTTTTCAGCTTCGATTATGGTGTGTGGAGGTATGTGTGCTACAAGCAAGACACCGCCGGTTTTTTTGGACAGAAACGTCAAGATGAATGCTAAAAACTGCCAACAACTGGTATTAAAAGATGTCTTGAAACATTGGGCAACAAATCACTTTGGACAAGCTGGTTTTTCCCTGCAACAGAACTGGGCTCCGGCGCATGATGCTCACTCCTCTCAACGTTTGCGCTCAGTTGTTTCCAGGCTTTTGGGATAAGACCATTTAGGCTTCAAATTCGCCAGATCTTAATCCCCTCGATTACTCCGTTTGGGCTATTTTGGAAGGCAAGATCTCGATGAAGACGTATCAAACAGTGGATGCTTTAAAATCTGCTCTGAAACGAGTCTGGGATGAAATAACTGTTTAAGCGTGTGCCACCATTGTGAGGAACTTCCCGAAGCGTTTAAAGAGGTGTATCGAAGCGGATGATGGAAATTTCGAGCATTTGTTATAAGTTATTTGTTGTTATGATTCGAATAAAGAATTTGTTATTAATTTTTAACTTTTTAAAGCGAGTTTTAAAACCTTTAACTATCTTAAGAAGCGGCTCCGAACTTTTGCCGCACCCTGTATATATTGGGTTAGTGAATTGAAAACTGCGGGACTTTGAACTAAAATTTATTCAACATAAAACCATAGCCAAATTTCCGAAAAGATACACTTAGTAGTTTCGCTTAAAAAGCAAGTTTTGTGAAAATTCGTAAATTTGGGATTTCTTGAAAAACAGTTTTTGAATCGTTCTGAAAATTTGGATATAAGCTTGATTTTTGATTCTCTACAACTTTTCCATTGACACCAAAATGGGTTTCGTTTGAAGAAAGTGCTCAAACTGGGACATATGACAATAGCCGTAGTTTTCAATTCACCAACCCAATAGATTGTTTGCGATCGGAAAAAAGGGAAAATAATTTTTAAGGAGTTTCGAAAACAAACAAAAGGCCTTTAATTGACTCACTAAAATTTCCGAAAATCTAAAATATTTTGAAACATTGCATCAAAAATTAGAAGTAAACTCGAATTTAGTTTAAACCTGCCTTTAGTTTAAAAATCAAGATCCAAAACCGAGAGCAAAACTCGAAAATGTGAGAGATTTTTGAGTCAAGTCGTTTTTTTCTTTAAACCACTTCCGCTAAGAATGAAATCGAGCGAAAATCCGGCAAAATCACTTCGAAATGCAAAAGTACATAAAGAAAAAAAAACAGAAAGTACATAAAAGTAGTTGAGACTGAAATTAAAATGGAATTTTTTTATGGATTTGAATTTTTGTATTTTGAAATATAAGTTTCAAATTATGGGGTGTGCGATTAAGAATTTGGATTTAAGCAATTGGTTAAGCAATTTTAGGTTTAAGCAATTGGTTATGCTTGTTCTTTTAAAGCCTTTGTTTTGTTTAAAGGTTTAAAATTGATTCTATTTTTATGAAGTCATTTTATGTACTTTTGGCTAGTTCTTTTATGCAATTGGGGCTGCATACAAGGCATGGTCTGGGCCGGGATTCGAACCCGCGCCCTGAGCCTAAGCCTAAGCCTGAGCCTAAGCCTAAGCCTGAGCCTAAGCCTAAGCCTGAGCCTAAGCCTAAGCCTGAGCCTAAGCCTGAGCCTAAGCCTAAGCCTTAGCCTGAGCTGAGCCTAAGCCTAAGCCTGAGCCTAAGCTTTAGCCTAAGCCACTTACCGCGCCCACGCTCTACCAATGAGTCACACCAACATGTGTCCCTTGCTTCGGTAAGGCCATATACTTGTCCAATGTTATCGTTCGGTTACACATTGTTGTACGCCACCAAGATTAAGGAGAACAAGAAAGCCGGAACAGAATGTTGAAAAAACAAGTTTCAATATAAAGGGATTTCGGACAAATATTTACACGTTAATTTACACGGCTTTTTGTAGCATCATGGATTAAAAATTTGGCATAAAAGAAAACAAAGGCTTACATCGGTGAATCTCAAATTTTTGAAACAGTTTAAATTTCATAAAATTTCAATCTTTCTTTAAATTGAAAGCCGGACTTTCAAATTATTGATTTTTAAGAAAATCCGTGTCATCAAATGGTCTAGAAAATTGGCTGCGCTTTCAAAAGCTAACAAGAATGATATTAAAGTTGATTTTAGCTGATTATTTTGAAAATTGATTCATAGTAGTAGTCATTTTTAATCTAAAAAACAAGAGTTATCTTAAAATCTGTAAAATATTGTTTAGAAAATGTAGTAAAATTTAAAAGTTTCAAAATGAGGGGTATTTGAGAGCTGAACTTCTTTTTAATCGATTCCTTTTATTTGTTTTTAAAATAAAGCTCTTTCAAAATTCACTTCCTACTAATTTAACGTTGTTTTTCTTGTTTTTCAAGCAAAAATAATTGAAATTTGTGGCTTTAGAGATGGGTTAAACGACAGGAAATTTCGAGGCATTCGAAAAAGGGTTTTTTCTGCTTTTCTCGTCTTTCTCGACAAAAATTTGACATTGTGGTAGGGAAAAGGATTTTTTAGCTGAAAATAGAGTAAAGTTGAGTAATTTTTAAAAAAAAAAATACAGGAAAAGTCGGAGGGAACATTGAAATAAAGGCATGGGTTATCAGTCTATCCATTGGCAGGAAAGGACTAAACTTGAAACACTAGCTTTTTTCTCGTAAAAGGCGTTCAGGCCATGAGTTTCAAAGAGTAATTTTTAAAGAGTAAATTTTAAAGGTTTTTATCAAAAGACGAAACTTTCAAAATCCCATAAATGAGTAGCATGTCGAGCGACCAAAACTTTGAAAGGTGATATAAAAAAGTTGAAAGCTTTAATTGTTTAGATAATGGGCACCATTTCAGGAGATCTACTTAAGATTTACGTCCAGAAAAATCAGAACAATTGATCCAATTTTGGCTAATTTTGGTCAATTTTTGTCAATCTAGGCCCTGGTGGGCCTGTAGGTAGGCCTGTAGGCCTGTAGGTGGGCCTGTAGATTGAATAACGAATGTAACATATCGACTTTTAAAGGTCTAAAGGAAAACTTTGAAATCAGGAAACCAGGAAACCAAGAAACCAGCCGCTTTTGTCGCTTAGCCACGTTTTTGCGGTTTTTCAACTTCATTTTGCCTGCCAAAAGAAACGAAGTATTTTGTGGTTGATAAATGGGATAAACTGGGCAATTGTGGAGGAAAAAAAAGGAAAAAAGGAAAAGAGAGTTTCACTTAGCGACAAAAGAAGTGCTAAGTCTTGGGTCCAGTTGTCTTTCCTTTCCTCCTTTCTTTCTTTGCTTCAAAAAGGTGTCGACAACCCATCAAAATAGTGTGAAATTGGGGATAAATGCCTCTTTTTTGCCCCTCTTTTTCTTAGACCACAAATTTCTTTCTCGTTTTTGCGTTTTCTGTCTTTTTTTGCTGAGAAAAGTGCTCTGTTTCATGGAAACAAATTGGATTCGATGAAATATTGGTTTTGTTTTCACAATAACAATACTTAAACTTCAAATCTACAAACAATTTGAGATAAATTTGATTTTGGGTATCTACTGACATTTTAGGTTCTACTAGGCTGGCATTTGATGCAAAAATGTGCTAAAACTTGTTTACGCAAAACGCAAAATGTTTTAATTTCTTGAATTCGAAAAAAGCGTAGATAAGGAATTAAAGAAACTTTAAGGGAAATCATTAAGAAAAAGTTAAGTTTGCCTTTTTTAAAACACTGTTTTTAATACTTTTTTATCTACAAATTTCCAACGTTCATACACTAGTTTCTAGAAAAATAACGATGTTTCAAGCTAGATGATAATAAGGGATTTTTTGGGGTTGATAATTGATCTGCAACCGCCTGGCGAAAAACAAGAAAGACCCAAGATCAAGAATGGTGATAAATCAACTGAAGCTAAAGTACTTCAAATTAGACAACTATCAAATACTCCCGAATTTGAGAATTAATCAAATATTTTACTGCACTGTGGAATCAAGTAAATCTCGTTGTCACGCAAAAATGGTGTTTCAAGTTAGAACATTATCAGGAATTCTTTGGGTTAGTAATTCACGATTATGGGCTGGAGAAAAATTCAATTCAATGCCCAATTCAAACTCAATGCCACCATTCGATTTTTGATTTTTTTACTGCACTGTGGAATGAAGCACTCCTCGTTGTCACTTTATTCAATAAAATGAGCAAAATTGAAACTTGCATTATTAGATTCAAATGTTTCGATTTGAAATCAACCGAAAAAACACTTTTCATGGTAAAAAATACTTTT